GAATGGAATCTTTATTTATACCCTTCCGCGTCACGGATCTATAGACGGCCATTTTAACCCAGGCTTCTTTCTATAAGTAGACCGATGAATGATGCACTCAGGCCCCTGGTACAAACGAGGTGTCGATGATTTTGCCCAGGCATGGAAACAGCCGCCTCCGTGCCAAGCCGCTGGCGCTTGCTTCCCCACGCACGGCGGTGAAGAGACATCGCAGGGCGACTCCCCCTCTCCAGTTCTCCAGCCTCAATGTGTGCACCTCCACGATCGCCAAAATACCCGCGAACGGTCCAAAGACTCAACGGAGAAGTTGCCAAGTGCACAAAAACGGCGTCCGCCCGGTGCGGCCACAATTTTCTCCCGTCCGCGCGATTGGCGTCACGTGGTCACAAGACAAATAATCCAATCGGATCTCACAGCGCAACCCCCTTCGGGCTAGAGAACGGCCCACGGAAGCGGATATCACAGAGCTACCTTGAAGATCCATTCAAATGACCTTTATTCCACTTACCGAGGGAACAGCAATTTGTCACCCGATCGGCCACTGAGAATAACGTCCGTCGCATGCAAGTCAAACCAATATTTCTCATTATCAGGGCTGGAATTTACAGAAGCAGACTTAACGTGACTTTTTTTTTACGTGTGTGCAGTCATCGGAGACCATCCACTCGGTTTAATCGAAGGCGGCGAGCTGCCGCCCAGACTCCAGGATCTCAGCAGTGCCAGCTCAGCACCCTGACCGCAGAGCCACCTGGCCAAGCTACACTGGAACCCCCTCGCGTGACCTCCTCCACGCTGTAAGGCGGCCGTCGCCAGGTTACGCACACGAGCTGCGCAAGTCGTTGCCAAAGAGTTCAGGCCAAGGTGCGATGATTTGCCACTTCAACCCTCCCATCTCCCAACGCTTGGCTTTACTGTTCCAAGAGGGAGGTGAGAAGCAGGCAAGGGGGGGGGGGGGGGCGGTGCCTTGTTCATTTTACGCGTCTCTGTCGGCTGTTCACACCACCACCCTGCGCGTTGTACGGTGATGCTGCTGCTCAAGCGCAACCACAGCTAATGCTACGAGGAGGCGTCGGCCGTGTGCATCCGGGCGTGGAGATAAATGAGGCCCGGCCACCCTCGTTAATAACGGAGTGCCGTGTGCTATCGCAACCACCGTGCACAGTGTACACACGACACGGACACACTGTGCGGGTGAAAAGAAGAGCACGAGACGTTGTGTCTCTGTGCGGGAGAGGTTCATGTTGATAGCATCACACGGCACACTCACCGCTATCACCTGATCCACTCACCACGGCCACATCACCTCCCCCCCCGTCACAATCGTACCACCCTTCCCAATGCAACCCTCACCCATCACTCGTCACCGTCGGTCCATCAGACTCGCCCGGTCGCTCATTATCTATCTTCGCCCACACACGTCACCCACGCAAGCCTGCCAGAGCCATCGTGATAAACATTCTACTTCCAGCGCGTACACGGCACCCAACGCAGGGCCGCGTGCCACCCACCCGTAACGCACACAAGCCAGGCCGAAAGGAGTGCCCCCGTGCGAGTGTTAACACTCCGTGCTGCAATACCACACAACGGGGGAAACCCAACGCATTCCCCCGCCCACAGCCCGCGAGAACCGGCCGCACTCCGTTCTCGCGCTGGGCTCAAGGTGACCTTCGGCGAGAGCGTAGCCGCTCTCCGGCGGGTTTTCCTCTCCAAGCGCAGCCCCCCCATTGCGGCCCCGTGGTAGCCCTGGCGACTGTGAGGCGCGACCGTTTTGACGGCAGCAAGGCCTAGCCGTGTGGCTTTACCGGCGACGAAATGAAACGAAAGCGCTTAGCCGCCTTTAATCTGCCATTCCGCATTTGAGCGCAGCTGCTCAGATTCTTTTAATTATTACTGCGCGTAATCTTATTTAAATGATTAATATGAGGATTGACCCGCACTCCACCCCGAGACGGGCGTTGCTGTAGCCCGGGGGGGCGACAGTGGGTGCGCCGCCCAACCGGCGGCTCCATCGTCACCACCACCGAGGTGGCGAGATGTTGACGATCTTGCCTGGTATACAGGAGGCCGTAAGCACTATCCCTACCCTGACACCTGTATATTTGGAGTCTGCGTGTCTTTCTCCCGGTGGTCTCGTGGATTTTTCTCCGGATCCTCCAGTATTTCCCTCCACATTTAGAGTCAACACGCGTTGAAGAGTATTTGGCTGCTAGAAATATCCACGTGAGAAGCCACTTCGTGGCGGTCTAATTTGCGATAGCCAGGTCGCTTCTGAAAAAAAACTCTAAAAAGCTCAGTGGACTTGACCTGGTAAAATAAAATATTGTTGAGCTTTAGTTTAAGCCGCCTGCTATCAGACAGCCTCGCAGGCACCTTGTGGCACAAGGGGTGGCAGCCAGCTCCTGTGTGCGGTTCAACTGCGCCAGGCGTACCCGCCGGCGCGCACACCCGACCACGCTATCGGCATCACGGGAACTCTCGCAGGCCAGTGGGAGCCCTCCGTGTTGGAGAAGGCCCCGGGGGAAGCGGATATCCCGGAGCCACCTCTAAAATCCCTTCAAGTGGCTTCTGGTCAGCACAGTAGAGGGCAGCACTTTCCCACCGACTCTGCTACTGGCAGTAATGTTCATCACATGACAGTCAAACTGATATTTTTTTTATTCTCAGGATTGAAATTTAGCCAAATTAATGTTAACGGTTTTCATGTACAGTCATTGTCGACAGTTTTTTTTAAATACGACAGGAACCCTTCTTGCTGTGAAACACAAGTATGTATGTTGAACTTCTTTCGCACCATATGCAGCCAACCATGCTGATCAGAGGTGTGGGGAGGGGGAAGGACAACAAACGAGTGTAATCAATGTGCCACCCAAATATAAGTAGACGCTGTTTGTTTTTGGGGTTGTCTCTCCCATGAATGAAAATAGTGGAAGGGGGCAGCAGCATCAACGCTGGCTGCGAGCGCAGCGCGTGGCCGAGTTTACTTGGAGCTTGGCTTTGTGCCAGGCCAAACACAAAGCGCCACCGCTGGGTGAAGCTAGCGAGTGAGTCCTTATCAGGAAACGAGACCTCTCCTCCACTCCAATCCCAGCTGGATTTCTCTCCCCCTCACTGCCTTTTATAGCCACCCAATCTACAAACAAAGGGCACTTTCTACACAGAGGGACTCCCAGCTGGTCCTGCCATGGACATCAAACTTCATGGCTCCACTGTATTGTGTGGCTTTAAACTGCATAACCTTCCTTAATTTGTTTTTTTAATAAATCCTTTTCCAAAATTGTATTCTGATTGTGCTATCGGCATCGCATCATGAGAGCGGCGCAACCCTCCATGGAAGTGGATATCACAGAGGTACCTCTGGGATGCCGCCCTTCAAGTGACTTATGCTCTGCATGGTAGAGGGCGGCACTAACACCTGGCCCACCACCGACAGTAATGTTTCCACACGACCATCAAACTGATAACTTAAATTCTCAAGAGCTGGAATTAAGCCAAATTAAATGCAAAACAACATCTACCGCAAGATGTGTGTTTGTGCGCATGTAGACGTTACTGGCCACCGGGCTTGGGTGTCGACTCAGCCACTCGTCACTACGGAAAGTTTGGCAACGCCGAGACGAGGTTCCACATCCCCTTTGCACTCGACCGATGGGGCACTGCGACGGTTTAGCGGAGTTTCAAGGGGCAAGGCGTGCGCTGCCGTGACAGACGACCGCAGAGACATCACAAAGGAGGCCTCTTTCGTGTTTACAGGCAAGACTGGTTACCTGCGGGGGGCAGGAACAGGAATCAGCCGCAGCAAACAGACTATGCCAACACAAGTGTTGCTGCCACTGTCACCCGCCGAGGTAGTTTAATTCTCCGGGACATCACACATCATCCTCCCAAACCAGACTGCTCCTCCCCTGCTCCCCACCCCCAACCGGGTGCACGGTAACCGGCACGGCTGTGGGGAACCTACTGGACATCTGTGAAAAAGTGCTTCATAGCTCTTCGGATTCCTCCGGTCTAAATAAAGATTCTGAGCAGCGCACCCTGCTGTCTGAGCTCGGGTATCACGGCTCCCTTGGCTGTCCAGAGCGTAGCAAGCGGGGCTAGCGGGGCTCGTGGGGCTAGCAGCTGCTTGCCCCTCCTCTATCTTCCTCACCCCCCTCCATGGCCGGGGGTCGCCACGACACGCCGTGTGCGCGCACGCACGACACCTCGTGGTGTCCGCGAGCGCTGATGATATTTCACCGATTTATACGCGTGCACTTCATGGAAAAATAAACAGAAAATATACCGATATATGTCTGTGTCCCCCTCCCCCCCTCAAAAAAATCTGTACAACTTCACCTGCAGGAGGTTTCCATATTGGCACATTTGGCCAAATCTTTACTGAGCGGGGAAGCGAAGCGCCACGCACACACACAAAGGGTATCACGGTGCAGTACTGCCACCTGCTGGCCGTGGCTGGACTAACTTGCACAGGGTTGTACTGCAGTGCGAGACCAATCGGTATGACAAACCTCCCAACCCTCCCCCGTCCACCCTGTTCCAGGGTAATCGTGGCCGCGGCTGTGCGCGCACGTAAGCCAGCACACTGTGGAGGCAGTGAGGGTCAGTGGATCACGCAAACTTTGAGAAACACCCTTCCTGTGGGTGTCGGGAAGGAGCCGTACGTAACCCTGGCTCGCCAGTAGTGCCCACAACATGGATGCAACAAAAAAAACTCCCAGCACTGAACAGATCCACGTTGGTGCACGTGCCAAGCAGACGAGACTCGTGCTGCTGCGTTACCCGCCCTACCGATGACGTCACAATTGTGCGACCCCCCCCAACGTCACGTGCCGCATGATCTCATCTCAATGCGTGGCTCGAAACGCATCGTCATTACCGCTAATTACATACATCCAATGACAAACGCGGGTCGGAAAGCGTTGCAGCATTTATGCACGTGCATAAATTGCCGTCATTGTTGACAACAACACCAGCGAGTGAGCCAGCGAGCGAGGAGCACTCACCCGGACCACGCCGGGGAATGGTCGTTGAGGGCAGCGCCACCCTGCGTGGCGCCGAGCATGCCAGGGGTGTTGGGGGTGCCCAGCAGGATGGCACCTGTCATCGCTGTGCGTTGGGGGGTGCCCAGCATCTGGGCAAGGACAGGGGTGTGGGGGGAAGGCGTGCCAGTCAACACACACAAGCTCTCTACAGTGTCCACACTCGACATTCAAAGCTTTACTCCTGTGCGGCGGGCCGGTACTGTGAACCTTGTGTGCACAGTGAATTTCTTACGGCCACTCACACGCGTCGCATTATCACGGTGGGGGTGGACACAGGGAGCCCTGGGCCTCGAGGTTTCCACGTGGTGGTGCAGGGTGAAGGTGGTGGTGCAGCGTGTGGCCGTGCAGTGTGCGGTGGTGCAGGAGGGTGCTGCAGGTGCTGCAGGGTGAGGTAGTGCCGCAGGGTGCAGTGGTGATGGTGCAGCAGCGTGTGGTCGTGCAGCAGCGTGCTATTGTGCAGCAGCGTGCTGTGGTGGTGCAGCGTGCGGTGGTTCTGCAGGGCGCGGTGGTGGTGTAGGGTGCAGTGGTCCTGCAGGGTGCCGTTGTAGTTCAGGTTGCCGTGATAGTTCAGGGTGAGTGGTGCAGCAGGGTGTGGTGGGCCTGCAGGGTGCGGTAGTGGTGCAACAAAGTGCCGTGGTGTGCAGGGTGCCGTGGTAGTTCAGGGTGCCGTGGTAGTTCAGGGTGCCGTGGTGCAACAGGGTGTGGTGGTCCTGCAGGGTGCGGTGGTGGTGCAGTGGTGCCGCAGGGTGCAGCAGGGTGCCGTGGTGGTGCCAAAGGGTGCTGGCTAACCATAGGGGAGTGCGAGCTGGACTGGGAGGCCAGGCTGCCGCCAATGAGCTGAGCCTTGGGGGTGCCCACTGCACTCGTCACAAGCAGCAAGCCACCTGCAGGGGAACCCCCACGTCACGTCTTACAAAAGTCCCCCATCGTGTAGCGAGCAGCTCCGGCCCGCCCGGCACCACTCGCAGGCGCTCGTCATGCCGGGTGACCGGTTATGGAACAACCTCGCGGTGCGCCACTGAGGTCGTTCGGTGGGGTGGGGGGGAGAACGGCCCTGACGTGTGTGGATCGTCGACGCTTTTAAGAGTCGTCTCAGCGCAGTTCCATCCCTGCCCAGCGCCACGTCTTGAACGCCCTGGATTCAAGCTACGGCGTAATTTTGACATTTCGTCACAACGTCCGCTCTCGCCTCCGCAATGCACGTACGTGCGTTGAACCTTTTTGCCAAACTTGCTGCAACTGGCTGCACATCGTTCACGTTTCAGCATTCCCTTTATGTCCCAAGAGCACTTGGTCTATTCAGCACGGCACTCCCCGTCAGGGGGATAGCAGAGCGTCTTTCCTGTGTTTAACACCTCCCCCTCCTTCCCAGTCACTCCCCGAGGTGCATTTGGAGTTGCCTGGTCAGGGTCATTGTGGTCTCTCCTGCTGTGCACTCATCATACAGCGTGCCAGCTGAAACAACGGTGCAAGTTCTAGATTTGAAGTTTTCGTGACTGCAAGGATCCATACTCTTTGGTTCTTTCGGTAAAGTCACGTAGGTGAAATAAATAGACACTTTTTTTTCCACACCTCCGTGACTTTACCAAAAGAACCAAAGAGAATGGTGCAAGTGTCTACCGCCAGCAGCAACAATCAATAAAAAACGATTCTTTAGGCTCACAGAACGTATCATTCCCACAAAACATAACCAAACTACATGCTGTTAAATGTAGGCTGCTGGAGACAAATATACGAAGGAGACAACTACAAAGCAAATCATAAATTCTTGACTTGCACCACATCCTCGAATCCTGAAAACCATAAGAGAGCCCAGAGGCACAACGAGTTGTGTTTGTATATTGCTCGAGCGTGGCTGTGGCTCCCGGCTACTGCATAGGGGCACAGCGCAGAGGCGAGGTGCACTCAGCTGCCAACAAAGGGAGGCAATAATGGGTCACCTTGGTGATCTTAGTGCAAATTATAATCTCAGATTGCCTCTATTGTCAAGTACAGATGTAAACGCCCTCCTGGAATTGTTAAGGACAAACCCCGCCACCCTGCCCCCCACTACGTACACTGCCACACATACGCTGCTCTCACTGCGAAGCGATTGGACTCCTTGAATCTCGATTGGGCTCCTTGCAATCTCGTGCAATCGGTTTCTATATAATCAGCTCACAAAAACGAGACCCTTGATTTACCCAGGAAAGCCTCGCAGAGTCCCACGACTCATAAGAAGGCCCACTGGAGAACGTTGTTTGAGACGTGGGAGCTAAACGCAGAACCCCAAGCATACGAGGGAACGTTCAAAACTCCGGACACATGGATTCTATAATATTTCGATATTTCGCCGTCGCCTGGCCGCCTCGCAGCACACCGAGACAAACGTCTATGCAGCAAGAGAGCCCTGTTGTTGTAGCACGAGCCAATATTAGGCCACTGGAGCGATGCACTTTTAAATCGAAATGTTTTTTCTTTAGAACTGCATTTCCCCCCGCACCTCTGATTTGCACGGTTGTAGGAATGGTGCGAAAGTTCAACATACGTACGACGAGAGGGACGCAGGGGTGGGATAGGGGGCAGCCAACGACCGTGCCTCACTCACCCTTTGTTGGGCTCAGATTCTCCACGAAGTTTTTCAGTTCCCCATTCTTGTCAAAGAAACTGACCTGGACCAGTCAAACGACAACAATGCCAACATCACCGCAAAATATTTCCAAGATCTTCATCTACAGCCCCCTTTGTCAATCCACTGCCAGATGAAGGCCTTGCCACAGCGTGTCGGGATTGTTGTCGCTGTACGTCACCAGGCTGGTCAGTGCGAGTCGGTGTAGGGCACAGGGGAATGTAGAACCAGGATGGTTCCGATATCACTCGCCACTGATGTTAGCCGTGGCTCGAACTCAGGTCACCAGGTTTGGAAAGCAGCGTGCCAACAGGCACAGATGCATGCGGCGACCAACCCTAAAGTGCGATGCTCGTTAGGTCAGATAACGCAAAAAGTTGTTAAACAAGTACAACTATCTTCGTACAAGACGTGGGGGGGGGGGGGGGGTGTGATCCACGTGCTGGAATAGGGCCACTGAAGTCTGGCAGACTGCTCCGTCTGGTGGAAGGAAGCCTCATTACTGCCACCGACCAGGCTCCCGTGGGCACCAGCCAGCGTCCCAATCAAGGCCATGGTCTCCATCAACCCAATTAGGGACGATTGCAACTGCCGAGTTCATCCTCTGCACACGTGACGAGCGACGGCGATACAAGCTTGTACTCCTCGTCGTGATGCAATGATTTGTCGTAATTCGGAGTAACAAGATGATGGGGAATAAAAGCCATTTTCTATACTTTTGAGGCATAAGCAATTAGAAAATAACAGTTACTACCCAGGAACAAAAATCGTGTTACATAGTGGTAGTTTTTTTTTACGTGGTCAATGTAGTGCCTCTTTTGGCTGCAGGGACAGGACAAACGACTCTTACGCGAAGGGCTCAATGCATGTATCATAGGCGTTAAGAATCTGTTACTGGTAGGAACGAAGTGGACCAGCCTACAATAGATTATATCGTCCGTCCGTCCGTCCGATGTCCGATTACGTGTAGCAACATCGCCCCCTACTGAAAACACTTGGCATGACCCTACAAAAACCTTTAGACTCTGTGAGGCTTTCCTGGCTAAACAAGTGTAACATTCCCTTATAATTCCCTCAGATAGCTTTTAGTTAAAACATTTAAATTAATGAGGCTTTCCTGGCTAAACACATGTAACCTTCCCTTATAATTCCCTGAGATAGCTTTTAATTAAAACTTTGAAATTAAATAAAGAAACTCACAGCGCCCTAAAGCCTACAGCTAGGCCTAAAGCCTAGAACTAGGCCTCAAAGTCTCCCTTCGTATCGTACCCCCGTGTGTGTGAAATGGAGTTAATGTTTAACAATGTTACATTCCCTGATGTTTTAAAATAGAAACATTTACATTTAAAGCTTTTACATTAATAATTATAACATTTAAATTATACATTAATAATTAAAACATTTAAATTAAAAATTAACTCACAGCGCCCTAAAGCCTACAGCTAGGCCTAAAGCCTAGAACTAGGCCTCAAAATCTCCCTTCGGATCGTCCGATTAGGTGTAGCAACATCGCCCCCTACTGCAAACACTTGGCAGGACCCTACAAAAACCTTTAGACTCAGTGGGGCTTTCCTGGCTAAACAAGTGTAATAATACATTGTTTATATTCTTTGGTTATTTGTTCCTACCAGCCCACCCCGCAGGGTCCTGTTATAGTCGATGTACCGATTCATCGTCACTACAAGCCCAGCCTAGCGGTTAAGGCTCCACCTTGGGCTCTCCCGCTGTTGCGTGGTCCCGCGCGTTGTTCGTCACGGCGTCCAACGTTTCTCTCTGCGTGCTGGGAGCTTACGTAGGAACCGAAGCACACGCCGCACGACCCCTAACCACGTGGTACGGAGAGCTACAACAACTTCCAAGGTGGTGCCACCACGCTGCCGTTTGATTCCCCACTGCCCTGCGCGATCACCGGCACTTGCTCGCCACCTCACGGCCTTGTTCGGCTGGGCGATGCCATCTCCCTCCAACGAGGCTTCGTTGCCTCGGTGTCTCCCCGGATCAGTGGCACTATGGGTCACAGCTTTACTCCCCCGTGCGGCGGACCGGTACCTTGAACCTCGTGTGCCTAGTGAATTTTTACGGCCGCTCACACGCGTGGCATTATCGCGGTGGGGGTGTACGGGAAGCCCTGGGCCTCGAGGTTTTCACGCTAAACGTGATTTTATGGTTGACCGCAATGCGGTCAATCGCCTGATGGCGATGAAACGCAAACATTAAGTTTTACTCGTGCTCATTTCCCGCCCGGCCACAACAAACATCCAGCAGTGACATCTGTGGGCTGCGGTCAGAGCCAGAAACAAACTAACACCGTTAGTTTGCGTGCAGGCCAAAATACGACCATCAAGTAACCCGCAACGCCTTAAATCTCTTCAGAGAGGAGAACTTAAGCGTGGTTAAGCCTGGTTAGCACTTGCATGGGTGACCACCAGGGCTTGCCAGGCGTTGTAGGAGTGGGGCTGTGAGGTGGCCAGCCGTTGGTGGTATTGAGTATCACCCCCTCTCGTATGAGTTTTCGCCAGGCACTATGCTTTGAACCAAAAAGTCAAGCTTCATAGAATGGAATTGGCCAAACACTCCAATATAGAAGCTTTGTAAATGTCCTGAGACTCAGGAAGGCTTTTCTGGATAAATGAAAGAACAACCTCTATTTTATAAAGCGCCTTTCATATTGAATTATCTCAACATGCTATACGCAAAAATAAAACTACACTTACAAGTATAGATACAATCAAAGTGAAATAGAACGCTGAATATGAATAGAAAGCTGATAACAATGCCAATAACTACAATTGAAATGTCAATAACTACTCGAATTTGCAATAAAATGACTATAATAAAAGGGAATAATTTTAATTACAGAGTAATCTAATCAGAGATTTTTTAAACATCTTAAGTTACGAGTAAAGCCTGCAGTACAAATTGGTGAGTTTTAAGACAGTGATTTAAAAAGTGAAACACTCAGAATCCCGAATTAAATGATGAGTAGACCAGAATCAAGCAGATCTCAAAGTTTTTTTGCAGTATTGTATATAAAACTCGAGCAGATCGGTGAGATGTTTAAGGGACCAGCTCATTCAAGGCCTTAAATGTGAGAAGCTGAATCCTGAAGTTGACTCTGTACTTTACAGGGAGCCAGTGTGGGGATGAAAGAATGGGAGAGTGATATGGTCACACGATTTAGATCTGGTTAAAACCCAGGCAGCTGAGTTTTGAATATATTGTAAATATATTTAAAACACTTTTAGAAACGCCAGCAAGCAAGACATTACAGCATTCCAACCGAGATGAAATGAAGGCATGCACCATCCTCTCAGCCTAGGTCTGAGTCGAGCTATGTTGTGTAAATGAGAAAAAAGGAAATTTAGGCAATATTACGAACTGTGTTTAGCTATGTGTATATCCATTGATTCGCGATATATAAATGGAATTGCATGTGTAAAAAAAAAAATCAATATTTTTGGATTTGTATGATTTAATGAGCTTAGATGACTCCTGCACCCACCGTGGTTGTGCTGCTGCGTGGGTCTGTGTGCGCGTCTGTGTACGGTTGCGAGTGCCTTTGTCTTTGGACATCTGTGCACAAGTCAAATCGTCTGCCGTGCCTGCGGGAGCCACACGCCCCAGACGGAGACCGCGCACAAAGCGCCGATAAGCCGAGACACCGCGGCACGTCGACACCACCGCGAAAGCGGCGTGGGCTCAAACCAATTACACCGCATCAATGATCGCCGCCAGGCCGGGCGAGGTAATCTCACCATTTACGCGGGCGGGGGGGGGGGGCGGCCAGGCAGGAGGGCACGCGCGGGCGCGGGCACAGGCTCCCACGGAGGCCCACCGAGGGAACAATTCCCGGGAGATGGCGCCTGCAAAGTTTAACGTGAGCCGTCCGCCGTCTTCATCTCACTCTCCCATGCTCGCTCTAATGACGAGGCAGTTGGATCACCGTGTCGGGAGGCTCTGGGCGTGACCTCCCCTCACCTTTCCCGGTCCTCGCCCCCTCACAAATCAGCTGGTTGTGATTTAAGCCCTTCTGCTCTGCACCCCCACAAGCAACGTCTTCCATGGGCGCTCTCTTTATTCTCGTGCCCTGTGCTCATCATCACCATCCGCCACGGTCAAACCACTTCTGGATGAAGGCTTCCCCAAGCCGCCACCATCTCCCGTTTTCTAGCGATGTGACAATCCACCCGAGCCGATGTTATAGGTGGCTGTCTTCTCGGCGTACGTTCTATTCCTTGGCACCCGCTCCGTTATACGATTCTTGACCATCGGCCACCATCGTCCCTTCCGACCGTGACGTGCTCTGCCCAAGCCCACTCACTTTTCGTATGCGAAAAAATCTCCGGCTGGGTTTGCGTCTTGTAGGCTATGCGAGTGAGTCGGCGACTGTTTTAGACGTAGCCTCATTGCGGAGCGGCCGACGACAGCGAGAAACAATTAACGGCCAGGTTTTACAATTTTAAAATCGATTAGATTAAAAATGTATTTCTTTAGAACTGCTTTATGCGTTTAGTTTGTTGTCTTTCCCTGCATTTCCGACATGCACGGTTGGCTACCTACGGTGCGAAACATTTTCAACATATATAGGCCAAGAGAAACAACGTGGAAACACTCATTCATTTCCACTCAAACGGTTCAAAAATCTATGGTATGATCATATCAGCTTACCCTTACGTCTGGTACACATTCGCGACCACCTTTGTTCACAGTAATACCTCTTACGTGTCTGTTTTACGGCAGCACTATTGCCAAATGTGGAGGTTGTTATTTTGGCTTCTCCACAACTGGCAATGTCGTAAATGTATTTGCTGAATACATTGCCACGTGATTTACGGATGTTGTTAGTCACGAGAGGGCCCCGGGTCACTTCAAATGACGCTCGCCATCGACGCTGGCCGGGGTTGGGAATCAAATACAAGTCGGCGGCTTCATAGCGCGGTGCGCTAACCACTGCACCACCATTCCCCAAGTCACGTTATTGAGCCAGCAGTCAATCATTCAAGTCACTTGTTCACTTTTGGTCGTTTGCCTCCTTGTCACTCATCTGTCCCTACTGCCATGGTTTCTGTTCCCATGAGCTTAACTCATTGCTTCCTCCGACTGTGCCGAGTACTCGGTCTATCAGACACCGACTGTTTGGACTCATCCACGCGGTGTTCGATAACCACCACACTGCAGGTCAAAACGCTTCTTCCATTTCCTTCCTCACACGGCTCCACTTTGGAATTGCTCCAATTTGGGCCGGTGCTTAGAAAGGGATGAGAAATGTTCCGAGCATACATCCGCCTACGGTTTCTTAACGATAACACAGCATAGTAGTAGGTTTTTACCCATTTAAACTGGTACAAAACTGACACCTTTTTTGAAGGCATCATGTTTGCAATAACCACAACACAAGTAGTCAAAAAAGCAAACAAAAAGAAGCAACTCTGATAATGATAATATGCAGTCCTTGAAGTTGTGTGGACCAATCAACTTCAAGGACAGTGCATATTATCATCATTATTAGAGTTGCTTCTTTTTGTTTGCTTTTTTGACTACTTGTGTTGTGGTTATTGCAAACATGATGCCTTGAAAAAAGGTGTCAGTTTTGTACCAGTTTAAAAGGGTAAAAACCTACTACTATATTTTGCCACTGGTAAAAGAGATCTCATAGGATAACACAGCAGCCGCAAGGAATCCCTGGGAAAGGTGGAAAGATGCCTAACACCCCCCCCCCCGAGACCACGAACCCCCCCTGCCCCCCCACACCACAACGCCACCGGGGGTGGAGGGGGGCACAGCCGTCGCCGAGTAGCTCACATCTTTGGACATGTTGCCGCAGTAGGACGCCACCGCGCGCTTGCAAAATGTCACGGCGCCGTTTGTCTTCAGACATCGATCGATTTACAGCGGGTGCCTCGGTCTCTCCATAGCCATCGTCCTGCAGAGAAACAAAACCAGGGAAAGGGCTCGAATTAAACTTGACTCCGATCGTGTCGGTATTGAGGCAACGAGCGACACCAGCACGCACGTGTTGCAGGTGTGAGCAGTGCTCAGCACGAGGCGTGCCAGAGCCGCGTGGATTTTCAGTAAAATAACGAAACAGACTCCTGTGCATTGTTCCCATCATCAGCCATGCTCAATTCACTGCTGGATGAAGACCTCGGTAAGCGTCATCATCTCCTCTCGGTTCGGTAATGCAACAAAATCCACCTAACACGGGCACGCGCTCAGATTTCATCGTTCCATATCCGCTGTGGGCGTACACTCTCGGATGCTTTCTCCTTTGGCTGCCATTCTGCCCTTAATCTCGACCACCGCCCCTTTTAGCCGTGACACGTCCTGCCCAGGTCCAACTACTTTTCCTAGAAGTCAAAATTACACTCTTAATCTGCCCACTCTCCACCCAAAGTCTTCCCTTTTCTGTCTCTCGGTGTAATTCCACGCACGCAGCTCTCCGTGCTTCTTTGCGCGCATTTCAGCATTGTTTCTTGGTGTGTTACGTCTGCTCAATCATTCACTGTCGTGGTAGCCGTGTGACCACCACGGTTGTAAAGCAAAAGACACCTTCTCAGAACAGTGCCCAAGGGTTCGTATCCTGCACAAATTATATGGGGGCCCCAATCATTTACACGCCAAGCGAGGGCAGACAATATCTTGCGTAGGTTCCTGCAGTCAACATCGGTCTCTCGTTTTCTGTGATGATCTTCCCGTTGTTCACAAAGCCCGTGGGCTCTCCCGCCACAAGCCGAAGGTGAACGCAGGCATTGAGCAAGTGCCCAATGTGGACAAACGGCCTCCTCGCACGCACAGAATCAAACGATTTTTTTCTGTTGTGGGATTTTTTACGCGCTCACAATCCTCAACCCGTACTACGCGCATTCCACAAGTGCTTTAATGACCGTCAATGAAGGCTGTGGAATTACGTGTACTTTTGAAGAGACACCGCACACACACTTTGTGGCTGACAAGTGAATTACACTATGTTCCTGGGTAGTAAGTGTTATTTTCTAATTGCTTATGCCTCACAAGTATAGAAAATGGCTATTATTCCCCACAAACTTTGCTTTTGTGACCAGGACTTTACGTGAAAGAATGAAACAAGTGCACACGTTTTCTCATTGAAAATAGGTAAATTTCTAAATATCACTGTCCTGGTCACAAAAGCAAAGTTTGTGGGAAATAATAGCAATATTTTGTACTTTTGAGGCATAAGTAATTAGAAAATATCTCTTACTACCCAGGAACAATTTTGTATTACAGTGTTATTAAACTCAGTATTTTAAGGCTCTGCTCCGAGGTAAAGGTTGGTGGTCAACTTGAGTTTTAGTGTCACGGAAACAGCTCGAATACTCGCCCCGACTCCCACTTCCTCCGTGGAGTATTCAGCCAAACACCCCCAGAGCACACCACATCAAGCACACCCAACACACTCCTAGCACACCAACACACCCCGACACCCAACAGACTCCTACACCCCTGCACCCAGCACTCACCACACCAACACACTCCTGCACCCAGCACACCACATCAAGCACACCCAACACACTCCTAGCACACCACATCAAGCACACCCAACACACTTCTAGCACACCAACACACCCCGACACCCAACAGACTCCTACACCCCTGCACCCAGCACTCACCACACCAACACACTCCTGCACCCAGCACACCACATCAAGCATACTCCTGCACCCAGCACACCAACACACTCCTAGACCTAGCACACCAACACACCCCTCACCCAGCACACCACATCAAGCACACCCCTACACGAAGCACACCACCACACTCCTACACCCAGCACACCATACCAACACACCCAGCACACCATACCAACACACCCCTACACCCAGCACACCAACACCCCTACACCCAGCACACCATACCACCACACTCCTACACCCAGCACACCAACACCCAGCACACCACATCAAGCACACCCCTACACCCAGCACACCACACCAACACACCCAGCACACCATACCAACACACCTAGCACACCACACCAACACACCTAGCACACCACACCAACACACCCAGAACACCATACCACACTCCTACACCCAGCACACCACACCAACACACCCAGCGCCACCACACCAAGCACACCCAGCACACCACACCACACTGCACCCAACACACACTACAGCTCCTAGCACACCACATTGCATATTCAAGCACATCACATATCAAATAGATTGCAGACCCAGCACATCAAACAGTCCATCATCACAGCACCCAGCATATCACATCGCACACCCAGCACATCACAAAGTTAACATCGCACACCCAGCACAGCACATCGCACACCCAGCACATCGCCCACGTCCCCCGTAAGTTCATGACTCGCTGCACCCCATTTTGAACTCCGCACTCGCGGTCCTACACAGGGGCCCCCTTTTCTGCGAATGAAGAACCCCTTTACCCCCTTGTCTATGAGGGATATGGGGTTCATTCAGGATGAAGAAAAGGGGCCTCCTTCGCTTTGCAACAACACTGGGACCCGGGCCCTCTAAGGCGCCGCCATTTGACAAGAGCGGCGACAGACGGAGGCGGGAGACTAGGGCATGGGACGACACCGGGGGTCATGGAGACGAGGTTGGGGGGTCAGGGAGACGAGGTTGGGGGGTCAGGGAGACGAGGTTGGGGGGGTCAGGGAGACGAGGGGATAGGGGAGACCACGAAGGTACGAGGGGGGAGGGGGGGGGGCAGAAAGACGAGGGAATAAGAGCAGCAAGGGGGACCCGGGGGAGACGAGGAGATTGCGAAACGAGACGAGGGGGAAGATGGAGGAGACGAGGCCAATGGGGGTCCCCACGTGGGAATGGGGGGGGTCGAGGGAACGATGGGAGAAGATGATGATGAAGATGATGGTGGTTTTGAATGAGGCTCATTAAAGCGGCGTGGCGGTGATGGCGGAGACGACAGTGGTGGCATGGCGCGGGCGGTTCGGTAAAGAAAAGGAATCTCCTCGTAATTAAGATGCCGAAGACGACATTGCCGACGATGTTGATGATGCAGATGATGGTTGTCGAGGACGATGCGAGTGATGGTGTTTTAATGGGACTACGGTTTCACGATGGTGTTGCTAAAGACGATGCCGATAATAAACGGGTCGCAGTCACTGTGCTAATTACTTTGCAGCGATGTGGATATTAGTGAGTGTATCGATAATCACGATGTTGACTTTGGTTCTGCTGGTTGATATCTGCATTCGTTATGTTGCAGATACTATGGATCATGTTAATTCTAACGATATGTTACGACGCGATATGGATGTTGAGGTGCAAACAGTCGATGTTAGCGCTGTTAAAGTTGCTGCTGCTGGCGATGATGATAAAGTTGTTAATTCTGTCGATGTCTCACGATGGTGATCGTGGTCGCGAACCCGACACGACTGCGACGCCGCCGCCGTTCCCGCGTTTAGCGATGGCATCGAAGGCTGCCGCCGATGCTGCTCAAGTAGATTTCGTTGACTACGACGATGACGACGATGGTGGTGATGGTGGTGAAGTTGCTGATAAACTCGAGATGGATGGTTTACACGATGGTGGGTAACATCGATGCCCCTCAACAATCACCGCTGAAGTACGGTAGAGGCCCGCTGTTGCCCTCGATGATCCCGATACAAACGATGCTGGTGATGGTGCTGATGGTGGTGATGCTGGTGGTGATGATGATGGTGGTGCTGATGATGATGGTGCTGTTGATGGTGCTGATGGCGGTGATGGTGGTGGTGATGATGATGCTGATGGCGGTGCTGATGATGGTGCCGCTGATGCTGGTGATGTAGCCGCGCTCCTTTTGTGACCCCGCGCCAGGCCTCGTGCTGCCCTCCCCACCTCCTCGTCGCGGGCGGCACCTGAGCGAGTGCGGCGGCGGCGGGGGAGGTGGTGTGAGGAGGTGGTGTGGGGTGGTGGTGTGGGGTGGCCCCCTCGGGCGGCAGCCGCTTGCAGTCCACCCGCCCGCCCGCGCAGAACGGCCGTGCTCCCGCCTGGTATCCCCCCCTCCTCCCCCCCCAGCCGCCGCCGTGGGTATCCCCCTCGGCCTCTCCCACCCCCCGCCGTGGCTTCCCCGGTCTCTGGGCGCCGCTGCCCGCCTCGCTCTCCCCAAACTCCGCGGCGGCGGCAGCAGCAGCGGGAGGAGGAGGAGGAGGAGGCCGCGCGTCAAATCGGTATTTGGCGGCGCGCGAGTAAACCGCGCTCCCATTGGCCGCCGGCCGCGTGACGTCACGGGCCGCGTGACGCCGCCGGCCCGCGCCGCCTCCCATTGGTCCGACGGCGCCCCAATGAGCTGCGGGCGTCTTTAGGGCGCCGCGTCCCATTGGCCGAGAGCGGCGGAGGGACGCGCGCCGTTTTCCCGCGCTCCGCACAAGTTGGGCGGGCGGGGGGCGAGGGAGGGGGGAGAAGGGGGCGGGGCGGGGCGAGGGGGGAAAGGGGGCGGGGCGAGGGGGAAAGGGGGCGGGGCGATATGGAAAAGGGGGCGGGGCGGCGAGACCCGCGTGTGCACTCTGACCCCGGGGTCTAACCCTCACCCCGTGTGCTGAACTCGTAACGAATTGGCATGTTTGTTTACATGACAACCCTGAACTAATTGGCTGTGTCGGGTGGTGGCGGGTTTAACGACACATTATATTCACGCGATCTAACTACAAAAACTTCGATTATTATGGATCCTTAAATCCCCTCCGCCTCTGTCCAGCGAGCCGTCTTCAGTGCGGGGCACACCACGTGACTCCCACGTTCTCCCAAGTCGTTTGTCCAGCGCGGTCGAGCCACGCCAAGAACTGCGACCTCCTCGTGGAGACTGCTGGGGGCTCCCTCTGTGGAGGCCAATCAGCCAAGCGGCATTTCGGGGAGCGCCTTATCCCTACTCAGACGGGCACCCATAATACAGGGTATTTTGTACTATGAGACCTCCTTTACAAGTGGCAAAATATAGTACTGTAGTAGGTGTTTACCCTTTAAACTGGTACAAAACTGACACCTTTATACAAGGCATCATTTTTGCAATAACCACAACACAAGCAGTCAAAATGCAAACAAAAAGAAACAACGCCAAAAGGCGTCATCTGGTCCAACACCAATGGAGACTAGGCTCTAAGGAAAGCTGTCTCGGGTGTGGACCAATCAACTTCAAGGACAGTGCATATCATTACCATTATCAGAGTTGTTTCTTTTTGTTTGCATTTTGACTGCTTGTGTTAAGGCTATTGCAAACATGATGCCTTGTATAAAGGTGTCAGTTTTGTACCAGTTTAAAGGGTAACAACCTACTACTAGGTTATTTTGTGTTTGGGTTACATCGCGTAAATATAAATTTGTCGTTAAACCCGCCGCCATCCGACACGGCCAATTCATTAAGGTTTGTCACGTAAACAGAACATAGCAATTCGTTACTCGTGTAGTGACATCGCGGACGTCACTGTAATGCCGGCTCTAGAGAGGCTCCGCGTGCGATGTACCCACAACGCGGACACACCATACATGTGGGTGTAGTATCGGCCCTAGAGGGGCTCGGTGAGCGCCGAGTCGTAGCGCTGAGTGGCACCACGCTCGGCGTGCAGTGCCGACCCCTACAGTATAGGGTGTGAGAGTGTCGGCCAGGGAATGGGTTATTATAGGCCGTGGCACTTTGGTTGACCCCGGAGGACACGTGACGGGTAAAGTCGACACAGGGGCCCCAAGTGGTGGCTAGGGGTGGTCACGTGTCGGGGCGAGATCCTGCTCGAGGATTCGAGAAGGTGGTCGTGGCCAAGGGCGGGGCCAGCCACGACCAGTGGGGATATAAGCCGGGTCCCCAGAGGGACCGGGGTTCAGCCTTGCTGTTGTCATCTTGAAGATCTAAGTTCTACGTCACCAACACGTGGACCTGGACCCAAGCTGGGGTTCTGTCCGTTGTAGCTACTCCCAGTGTGATTAGTGTAGTTAGCCTGGTGGTCCACCACCATAGGGTGTAGTTAGCCTGGTGGTCCACCACCGTAGGTTGTTATCTGGTGAAGGGACAGTTACCCCTTTGTGTTGGTATCAATAAATGTGTTGCCTCCAAAGAGTGCGTCTGTGACTCAGTTGAACTCACTACACTAGTACAGCACACCGGTGTGTTGGAGAGCAAACCCACAACATTTACAAACTGAGTACGACGTTTCGCCAATAATTGCAACAAGTATCATCAGGCGGACAGCCAGATGGGCACGTCGTCTCCTAGGGTCGGATAGCATCTTTAACACACGCAAAAAACTGCCTTTGCAACGACAAAAAATCCACATTGTATTGTCACGCCACGTGGAGACCCTAGCCGCACACGAACCCCCGTCAACCCAACTTCACTCGGCGTGGACCTCCCGATGGATCACACCCAGGTCCACCTCGAACACCACCCTCCCCCCCGCAGCCGGACCCATCAATCACCCCGCGAGAATTCGCCCCACTCGTAGCAGCAGCAGGAGCAGCAGCAGCTTCCCTTGCACGAAGCCGGCGGTACAGGCCGAGCCGCATTTTTAACTCTCGCTCCTACAGCAATTACCAAAGCAGAAAAACAGCAAGCAGGGAATTCTACACCACCGGGCACAATGGAACGGCCAGGAGGCGCTCAGCTGTGGATAAAGCCTGGCTCGGGTACTCCTGCAGAGAACAATGTGGGGGGCTTTGGCAAAGCGGAGCAGGCGTTGGCACATTGGTTGGGGCGACACGACCCTTGTCCCGTGCATCTTTGACTGACTGCTGCCCTTCAGCGCAGTGGGCTTGTCCGTTGGGACGTAGAGGGCGTGAAAAGTGAAAGGGGTTAAGGGGCCGTCCATAAATGACGTCACGCACCTAGGGGGGATCAGACATTTGTGACGATGTGTGACGGGGGGGGGGGGGTGAGAAATGTGACGTCACATCAAAATGCGCAACTTTAAGTAAATAGACAACACGTTCTACTTAATTAAATAGACTTTTTAATAAATTATTTCTCCTATAACATCAGAGTGCAGCGCCACATTAAATACGCACTACAATGACAATAGTTTAAAGCGATTTGAAGCATGTTTTATTTTGGGGGGCGGGGGGCAGAGCTTTGTGACGTCAAATTTGAGGGGGGTCTGACTTTTTGTGACGCCGTGTGACTAGGGGGGGGGGGGGGTCAAAATCGTCCAAAATCTCGTGACGTCATTTATGAACGGCCCCTAAGGGTACTTGGTTTACATATTACTACAATGCACACCTTCATGTCTGTTTAATGTTTCTGTAACTTAATTGTAATTGTGCCAATTATCATTCTCAAATCACTTGCACGACAGGAAATGTTAACATTTGATTTGCAATTATTGTTTTGCCTTTTTGGGTTTTTGCTTTCGTCGTTTTGATGAAGCGGGTCACTCTTGCAAATGTAACTCCTGCCCCGATCTTCCTGAGCTCGCAGCGGCTACACAACAATCGACTTGACTGGACGTGCAGCCGTTCGCCTGCCGACACAAGTTTTATTTTAGACAGGCCCCCACAGCAGCAGCCCTGGGCTAGACAAGAATGAGCTGCAGCAGCAGCAGCAGTGGTAAGTGGCCGGCCTCCAGTGAACGTGAGAATCCTGCAGGCCACTTCGCCGGCTCAACTCAGTCCGGTATGGGACCCACGCCATCAGGATTCGATGTTGCAGGTCCCCGAGCTCCATGACTAAAACATTTTAATTTCCGCGAGACCGACTCCCGTAAAAAAATATAATCAGGCGAACGGGGTTAAATCGCCAGGAATTTGGCCGTTTTTTTTCTTCAGATCTCAGATAGCGCGACAGGGTTGAGCCCTGGATCGTGATCAGATGGGCGACCACCTTGCATGATATACAGTGAGGGAAAAAAGTATTTGATCCCCTGCTGATTTTGTACGTTTTCCCACTGACAAAGAAATGATCAGTCTATAATTTTAATGGTAGGTTTATTTGAACAGTGAGAGACAGAATAACAACAACAAAATCCAGAAAAACGCATGTCAAAAATGTCATAAATTGATTTGCATTTTAATGAGGGAAATAAGTATTTGACCCCTCTGCAAAACATGACTTAGTACTTGGTGGCAAAACCCTTGTTGGCAATCACAGAGGTCAGACGTTTCTTGTAGTTGTCCACCAGGTTTGCACACACCTCAGGAGGGATTTTGTCCCACTCCTCTTTGCAGATCTTCTCCAAGTCATTAAGATTTCGAGGCTGACATTTGGCAACTCGAACCTTCAGCTCCCTCCACAGATTTTCTATGGGATTAAGGTCTGGAGACTGGCTAGGCCACTCCAGGACCTTAATGCCCTTCTTCTTGAGCCACTCCTTTGTTGCCTTGGCCGTGTGTTTTGGGTCATTGTCATGCTGGAATACCCATCCACGACCCATTTTCAATGCCCTGGCTGAGGGAAGGAGGTTCTCACCCAACATTTGACGGTACATGGCCCCGTCCATCGTCCCTTTGATGCGGTGAAGTTGTCCTGTCCCCTTAGCAGAAAAACACCCCCAAAGCATAATGTTTCCACCTCCATGTCTGACGGTGGGGATGGTGTTCTTGGGGTCATAGGCAGCATTCCTCCCCCTCCAAACACGGCGAGTTGAGTTGATGCCAAAGAGCTCCATTTTGGTCTCATCTGACCACAACACTTTCACCCAGTTGTCCTCTGAATCATTCAGATGTTCATTGGCAAACTTCAGACAGGCATGTATATGTGCTCTCTTGAGCAGGGGGACCTTGTGGGCGCTGCAGGATTTCAGTCCTTCACGGCGTAGTGTGTTACCAACTGCTTTCTTGGTGACTATGGTCCCAGCTGCCTTGAGATCATTGACAAGATCCTCCCGTGTAGTTCTGCGCTGATTCCTCACCGTTCTCATGATAATTGCAACTCCACGAGGTGAGATCTTGCATGGAGCCCCAGGCCGAGGGAGATTGACAGTTCTTTTGTGTTTCTTCCATTTGCGAATAATCGCACCAACTGTTGTCACCTTCTCACCAAGCTGTTGGCGATGGTCTTGTAGCCCATTCCAACCTTGTGTAGGTCTACAATCTTGTCCCTGACATCTTTGGAGAGCTCTTTGGTCTTTGCCATGGTGGAGAGTTTGGAATATGATTGATTTCTTCTGTGAACAGGTGTCTTTTATACAGGTAACAGGCTGAGATTAGGAGCACTCCCTTTAAGAGTGTGCTCCTAATCTCAGCTCGTTACCTGTATGAAAGACACCTGGGAGCCAGAAATCTTTCTGATTGAGAGAGGGTCAAATACTTATTTCCCTCATTAAAATGCAAATCAATTTATAACATTTTTGACATGCGTTTTTCTGGATTTTGTTGTTGTTATTCTGTCTCTCACTGTTCAAATAACCCTACCATTAAAATTATAGACTGATCATTTCTTTGTCAGTGGGCAAACATACAAAATCAGCTGGAAATCAAATACTTTTTTCCCTCACTGTAGGTGTTTTATAAACGTGTAGTGACTGGTAGCGTCACTACTGCATGTATACACACACACACACGCACACGTGTGACGTCACTATGCAGAGGAGCGTCACTACCCCGCGGATCTACACACACACACGCAAGACGTCATCCCATCTGGAGGCGTCTGGAGGCGGGATTGACGTCAGGGCTGGTTGAGGACTCGGGAGGCCGGAGGTGAGGCCACAGGGGGTGGTGTGAGGCCGTGGCACTCTGCGTGAACCCGGCCGGACACGTGACCGAAACCCGGTGGGGGCCGGGGGCCCGGGGAGCACCTTAGGGGGCACGTGGACAGCCGAGGGGTTTCGGGGAGGGTTCTCGAAGGAAGGCGTGACCGGGGGAGGGCCCGGGCACGCCGAGGCCGATATAAGCGGCCTCATCTCTATGTTCGGGGTTGTTCGTATCAAGAATGGAAGAGGCATCGTGAAGGCATCTCAAGAGAAGAGTCAAGCCTCCAGTCAGCGGACCAGCCAGTAGCCCTGCTGGCTGAGTCACGCTAATGTATCGGAGAGTCCGTATATAGAGAGTGCCGGTGGTTAGCACCACATTTAATAGAACGTGTTAACAAATAAAGTGTCTTCTTAGTTCTTTCGGTAAAGTCACGTAGAATGGAAATAATAAAAATAAAACATAATAAAATAATTATCACGACGATTCGGCCACAACGCAAGCAGCCGTCCTCAGGTGAAGAACAGGTCTGTCGGGAAGACAGCGTCTGAATGAAACACCACCAGGCCTGGAGCGTATATTTAAGCTGGGTTGGAGGGGGAAGAGCGCCTTGACAAAATAATTTGCATATCAAGAAGAATTTAGCATATTTATGTGAAATGCAGATATGGCATTAGTCACTACTTGTGAAATGCGTAGAAGGTGGGCGGGGGGTTTCAAAGTCATATTATGCCCGTGCATTATGCAGGATTAGCAGCATCAAAGGGAGGGGATAGGGGTAGCATTAATAAAGGGAAGGAATGTTAATAGTATGTAGCTGCAGTAATTAAACCACCACGTAAAAAACTAAAGTATAGACTACATAGTATCATCAGTATACTAAATATACTCTCCAATAAGCTGAGCTACTAACAGTAAGTAATACATTACAATTCTATGTCGCAAAAAATATAATATGCTTCCAGCTAAACTTTTTTCTCTTACATCACACGGGTCTACCCCGTACTATATACTGCCATAGACAAACCCAACATTAAATTATATACTGTATTACTATACACCACCTTCGACTATACATTGTAATATTACACTATGTATTATTCTAATAAAGGGGGGGTGGGTAGAAGGAAGGCGTGACCGGGGGAGGGCCAGGACACGCAGAGGCCAATATAAGCGGCCTCATCTCTATGTTCGGGGCTGTTCGTGTCAAGAATGGAAGAGGCATCGTGAAGACATCTCAAGAGTCGAGCCTCCAGTCAGCGGCCCAGCCAGTAGCCCTACTGGCTGAGTCACGCTAATGTATCGGAGAGTCCGTATATAGAGAGTGCTGGTGTGTGTTAGTTAGAATCGGGCCGGTGGTTAGCACCCCATGTAATAGAACGTTGTCCGCCTAATGGAGCCCATTACAAACGTAACTACAGTACTTATTCACCAGTTAAAGCCCACTGAGCTATTAGCACTTTTGCAGAGGCGACCTGTCCACACATATCACAAGTGGGCATACATTTATCCAGGGCTTAATTGTAACTTTCGGACTCGCCCCTGCTGGGCATATATGAAAAAGAGCTTTATAGCTCATCGGATTCCTCCAGTATAAATAAACACTGATTCTGCTGGATCTGTCCAGGTCGGTCACCCAAACACATTCCTGCGGAGGGAGCTGGTAGGAACGTTGGGTTGCTCGGTCAATGGCCAGGGTCAACGGCGGCGTGGTGTATTCCGCAAATATGCCCGACTGTGAGGGCGGGCACAAGCCGACGTGAGTAGGTTAAACGTTGAATTTTATAAAAGCACCACGGGGTGACCAGCCCCTCCCCACCCAGCCCCACCCTCCCCACCCAGGCCCTCACCACCCAGCCCCTACCCACCCTCCCCTCCCCACCCAGCCCTCCCTCCCCACCCAGCCCCTCCCTGCACGACCGACGGACACAATAATCCCCTGTGGGCTGGTGTAACCAGGAGGTTCCTACCAGTAAAAGTGTTTCCGTAACCGGCACACACCACATCCAGTAGTGTGTCAAGTCTCTTGGTATGACCGTGGCGACTCGTCACGTGCCACCTCCGGTCTCCCAGCGCCCGGGAGAATATTCGGTCCGATATTGCACCCTGTCCACGTGTCGGCACGCAGGCGAAAGTGCAGAGCATTCAACTGTGCGCAAGTTCCTCTGGCCTCAGTTTCGGAGCCTGTACACCTGGGAGTGACACCGGTAGAGCAGCAGCAGCAGCAGCATCGTGCACCGACGTCCCATCACTCCTGTGCGAGCCCCGTCACGTAGCAATAGCCACTGCGAGGATCAATTTTGCGATAAACGTCCTGGAATCGCGCGCCATGGGCAACCGAATTCAAGCAGCTACCGTTCCCAGCCAAGCAAAAGGAGCCTCTTTGATGTGCGCTGCCCACAGCGCTCTCTCCCGAAGCCTTTGAGTCAACATCTCGTGGCTACAACAGCGGTTTTGGCTGCAGCCGCAGGCGAGTCATGCGGGGAGTGACCCGTTTCATAATCGTGTGCGAGTTTAAACAACAAAAAGATCCAATCAGTTCAGCAACGCCCGGCTCGTAGACTTTAATCCTGGCTGCACGCGCCTCTCCGCACTTCGACACGCGCCCTAGATGCACGCACCTGCGTCTTCAAGGGCAGGATCGTATGCCCGGCCACCACCGATTCCATTTCAGCCGGGGTCCGATTTGGCCACCCGGGAAATATTTACACACCTGGCACACCGCATCCACGTTCATCCTCTCCATGGCTGCGGCTACGAGTTTCGCGTGCCACATATCCCACCCTTAAACCAACGACCCGAAACAAATATTCAGTGCAAAATTAAAGCTCTGGCCGTGTGCGCCGCTGTGCTCAAAGCGGGGCGAGCTTTCTCAAAACCCAATCATTCGCTGCGGGTCTGCACTGGCACTGGTGGACAAGCACAGAGTAACAATAACATGGATACAAACAAAAACATCGTCATGCTCATCACGAACAATTCCGAGACCGTAACAGCCAAACATACGACAGTCTGGAGATTTTATGACAATTGCACTTCTGCAGAATAAGTCGCAATCGTGGCTGCGCATTGAACTTGACGCGTCAGCTTCGGGGTGCGATGATGCATCGACTCATCGCTGAAAATTGATTGTTGCTCTCACGCCGAATGCGTCACGTCACGCGCGCGAGCATCGACGCTGTTCGGTTCGTGTGCGATGTCCACATCCGTTGTTCTGCACGTGACCCCTGTGCAACCACTGGCGGCCGCTACCATTCACGGCGATGTTTAAACGTGTTGCGCAATCGAGTGACGAGCCTCGATAGAAACCATTCATCGGGTCGCGGGAGAGAGGCGGCGAGTGAATCATTCCACCACCACTGCGGCGCCTTAAAACCGGCGTAGGTGAACACCTGGAGAGTTGAGAATTTACAGCTTTTTTTAAACAACAGATTCTGCATACTCAAGTATGCGACAGGCGACGTTTTAGGCAATGACGCTTTGTAGCACAGAGGCCAGAGTGGCTTCTCTATCCGGGCCACTGCGCAAAACGTCGCCTATTAGTGGCGGATGTGTCGAGTGTTTTTATTTATTTATAATTGTGCTTGGTGCACCGCTGCCAACGTAGTGTCACCACATCAACAGTCCAAGATTTACCAAAGCCTCGCGTTCGTGAGGTCAGGGTCCTCAGGGTGGGACGATGGGGCAGACCGGGTAAAGGTGGGGCTGACGGGCCCTCCCCCGGCCATGTGCTCAGCCAGACTGAGGACCAGTCGGAACGGCAGCGGCCGCTCAGATGCCCCCAACTTGAACACCGTGAAACCGACCCCTCCACTTTCCTCTCCCCTCCCACGCGTCCATCCTGCGGCGTGCGTGCGCACGCACCCCCATCGACGACCTGCCGTCTCAGAGCGAGCGAGAAAAACGCACTCGGCCGGGAGACAGCGTGACGGCTCCGTCGATGCGTCGCCGCGGCTTGCCACGAAGCGCGATGGCGTTCCAGATCAGATCGATTCGGCAAAGGCTAACGTCACGCTGCTCACATACAGACCGCTGCGTTGGATAATCTGAGCGGCAGTGATATCCAGCGACCATGCATCTCGTCATCAATAAATTACGGCTCAAGACACGTGCATCATCACACTGACTTTGACACGAAACTGCACGGAGGAGACGGAAACTTGAGCAACGGTACAAACGACGAGGTTTGTAAAACAGGACCCTCCCCCTTCTTCCCTCCGGCCGTGACTGCTTCGTTCGACAAAACAAACACGGATCCTAAATGCGAATGTACTCTCAATGACTTGATGCAACCTTGGTCACCCTTGTCATGCATCTCAACTGGCCGATCGCTCGCCCACTGCTTGCATAAAGGAAAACTACGACCACGGTTCCTGCGCGACGCTCTTGAGATGCCGTCGCACGTGAGTGCCGAGTCCATCCCCACTGGAATGCAATGCAAGAGTCGATCCTTCGAATGAAAACACGGTCACGAATATTCGACGGCCGAGTTATCGCGTGTCTTGGACGCGCACAGCACGGGCGCCAATGGAGTCATAAAGCCGGCCGATAGGTTAAGCACCTGCTTCGGCCAGGGCGAGTATAAACGCTATCTCGGTTAGGCAATCGTACACCTGACAATATAGCGTACCCACGCCACCATCGGCGAAACTAGTGGCCATTATCTTATTACATTCAACGGCTTGTCAACCACATTAGCGCCGCGTAGTTCAACCACGAGGATTTTACTACGCCCGTGTGCCTCTCGAGATGCATCGCACGCCCACATATCCCAGCTTCACGTTTGGTCCAAGCGCAAGCTCTTACGGTGGACCGTTTAATGTTTACAGCGTCCCCTGACGCGACGAATATTGCAACACACGACCGTTACTCTGACACGCACACACGCCCATGCATGGGCACGCGCGCTTGGAATAACCTCGCTCATCAAGGATTTCTGGACCTATAGGAAACCACTTCCCCAACAGCAACAGCAATGGCTTGCGCAGAATTCCTACGCCGGCTATGCATCAAACGTGAATCGGCGAATCGGCGGCGAGAGGTGATGGAGGAGGGGGCGGGGGGGGGGCACCATGGCGACCGTCACTCTTGGCACGCGCCCCCTCTTGCCTCACACGCCGCTCGCTCGCCGCGTATTGCACAACTCGGGGGTCCGCGCGGACGAACGCACGAGGGGGGTGGGGGGCGGTGGGCACGGACGCGCTGTTCCCAGTTTCCCGCGGGTTTGGTCCGCGCGTCCTCGTGCCGCTCGCGGACATTTGATCCCGGCTTCCAGTCTCCGCTAACGACGACGACGACGACGAGTGTTGTCGCAACGAGAACCCAAACGAAACCCTGCCGCCGGTCGCAGGACATTTTGATCCGAGGCGGTTCCGACCGAGCTGTAAACGCAGTCCACCGGTTCCAAATTAGAATATCTCTCGTGTGGAATTCCCCGTCGCGCACGCAGGGCCTGCATCGGGCAGCCTGTGCGCAGCAAAGTGCTTTCCGTGAGTCCTGCTGTGTTTGTGATGTTCTTTCTCCCGGGCACCAGGGGTGACCGTGTCCGGCTGAAAGCCGCGTTCTCGGCAAGCGCCTCACGGAGCCCGCTGGGTCCCCAGGGAGTCTCACTCGCCCCCTGGGGGGTGCGTGTGGGGTGAGGTGTGGAATGTGAGGTGTGGCGTGCAGTGTGAGGTGGGTTGTGCAGTGTATCAGGGTGTAAGGTGTACGGTTGGTGTGGTTGTGGTGGTGTGCAGCTGTCGGCGTTTAAGATTGGAGTGCAGGTCTGATGGAGTTTGAGAGTGGCAGACAAATGTTGTGATGCAGGGAGTGGAGCTGAAAATGTGTACTGTATTGTGGGGTTGGTGGTATGTCGGTGAGGAGTGTCAGTGAGGAGTGCCGGTGAGGAGTGTGGGTCAGGAGTGCCGGTGAGGAGTGCCGTGGGCCCTCTGGTGCAGCCTGCGCCATGGCAGCGCGGCTCGCTGCGGTGGCGGCCGCCGTCCGTCACGCTGCCACCCTGCGGTCCGCCGTGGGGGGCAGGCACCGGGCGAGGGACAGGCGCCACAGCGCAGGCGCCAGCAGCAGGCTCAGCGTGGTCACGCTCAAGATGAGCAGGTAGACCTGGGGGGAGGGGGGGGCACGCGGAGGGGGCCGGGGGGGCAGCGGCTCGCGTGAGCGCACGACCTCGTCGTGTGACGCAGGGTGCTCCGTCGTCTACAGGAACCCAACGCGACATCACAGGGAGACAGCGTGGAGGAAGCTACATTTTCATTCAACGCCTCTCCACGTCTCCCACCGATCTCAGTGTGCGCATCGCATCTGTTTGCACTCTCCCGTGAGATATGCAGCCGTCAAGATATTGAGACGTGCATGCGTGTGCTGCGTGTGCTGCGTGTGCTGCGCTTACCGCGCTCCCTGTGTGTACACTGTGTTCCCCGTGCGTGCGCGCGCGTGCGGCCCTGCGTGCCGAGCCGGCGCCTCACCTCGCGGGACACGATGCCGGCGCGGCGAGCACGGCTCCCCAGCACGAAGCTAAACTCGCTGACCTGGGCCAGGCCCGACGCCACCACCCAGCAGAGGTAGCGGCTGCCCCGCGGCAGCACCACCCACAGCACCGCCGACGCAAAGGCGAACTGCGGGAAACGCACGGGGGACAAGGAACACGGAACACGCACCACGCACGTGCGAGAAATTTGACGACACTTCGCCACTCAGATCGGTGCGAGTCGGTGAAGGCGTGGGAGCAGAGACGCGGTTTTGCTGCGCTGGCCGCTGCTGGCCACCGCGTAGCCCCGCGAGCGGCGCCCTTTACGCACGTTGGTCGCCCATCCAAGCAGCGGCCACGCTCAACCCAGCTATGAGATCTCGCGCGTACAATTTGCGTGCGACGTCAAATCTCCCGCAGGTGTATTCCCCCTTGCGCTCTCGTGGGCAAGCGTCGTGCCGGCCGCCGTTTACCTTGACGAAGACGACGAAGAGGGTGAGGAAGAGCAGCGTGGAGAACTCGTAGAGCACGAACGTGGGGAACACGTGTAGCCCTGGGGGACCGCGGGTGGGGTGGGGTGGGGGGGGGTTCGAGGGTCAGGGGTCAGAGGGCGTGAGGCGCGCGCTCACCACGGCATGCGCGGTCAGCTTCGTGAAACTAAACCACCACTCGACCCGTCCTCCGATTACCCGGCTAAGTGGACGGTACGAATATCGTTGGGAAAAAGTCTTCACTTGCTCCCAAGTGCGCCGCGAGACTACAGGTGATGGGTGGGGCCGCTTCATGCCGGGCGTGGCTCACAGGGGGTTTGACGTAGGAAGTGGCTGAGAGTTTTAAACGGGGGGGGGCTGCATAATCGACCACAGCAGAAGTAGTCGATTCCAATTGCTGGTCGATCAATCCGACGTCAACCGTCTGCCATCAACTCTCTCACCTGCGGAGGCGACGCTCACCTATCGAGGCGAAGAAGAGGATGGCGAGGAAGTCGCGGATCGGCTCCAGGCAGCTGCTCACCTCCTCGGTGACGACGTGGCCCAGCGAGGAGACGAGGACGCCCGACAGGAAGCAGCCCAGCTCCATCGACACTTCCAACGCCTCTGTCACCTGCAGGGGAAGGGGGGGGGGGCGGCGTGGGGAGCAGGGGGGTCCGCGGTGAGGACCGTCGTCGTTCCCGTGACCTCGTTAATGCGCCACTCGCCCCGACGGCGCGCCGAGGCCGTGTGGGCCGAGCTTTGCCCGCGTGCGCGTGCCCCACCCGCAGCATGGCGAAGATGAACGCGGAGAGGCCGAGCGTGAGCAGCTCGGGGCTGCCGGCGCGCGCGCTGGCGCTGTGCAGGCGGCGGTAGAAGGGGCCGATGACGCGCGACCGGAGCAGCACGCAGAGCAGCAGCACGCCGGCCATGGACGCGAGCACGCGGCCCACCAGCCCCGACACGCGCACCCACTCCCACAGCGCACTGCCGGGGCACACGCACACACGCGGACATGCACACAGACACAAGCACACAAAGATCCCCCCATTATAGCCTTAACAGACCGTAGGAGCAAGTGCTGTTAGCGAGCGCCTATTACGGGCCGACATGGCACACGAGGGGGAGGGTGGTCAGTATCACGCTCGGCCGCCTTTGTCTCCCCAGTGACGATGTTTACACATCGCACGAGGTACTCATTTTCAGATAATCATCACTGCTGTTGGCCGTGAGCGGGAATCAAACTCGGGACGCCGACTTCATAGCGCAGCGGCACTACCGCTCCCCGCGCATGCACGCACATGCACATGCACACACACGCACGCACACACAGGGCCACACTGGGAATTCTCATAGTGTTCCGCACGTCGAGAGGACGGCGTGAAGACTTGCCGGCGGCCGCCATGTCACCACCCTCCCAAGCTCGACGGCTCGTCTCACGACCCAAAGTGAGTGCGCAAGAACGGTCTTGGCAAAACGAGCGGCCGAGTCGTTGGCGGAGCGGTGGCAGAGGCCTGGTTCCGCACGCCTGCCCCACGTGCTGCTCGGCACACTCCGGCAACACGGGCTACGGCACTCAATTCACAATGGAACCGGGCGCAGGCAGGGAGGGGAGATGGACTCAGAAGGCTAAAGTCCGTTGTCTATGAATGCAGTTGCCTACATTTCTGATCTCAACTCGCTCCATTGCTGTGACTTGATTCCATTTGTTTTGCTTTCGTCATGTTGGCGACCCGGGTCAGGGTACCTGGCGGGGTGTGCCGTGCCGGCCTGCGCGAGCGTGGGCATGAGCGCGATGATGACGCTCAGCTGCATGTCCTGCACCACCAGGATGCCCAGCAGCATGCTGCTGTAGTCCCCGTCTCCTGGCGACAGCGGGGAGGGCAGCGGAGGGGCAGAATCAGCCGAACGTCCACGGGAAATATCCCTCCTGCGGAGTTTAAACCCCTCCCCCCGGCGCGGCTAGGGAACGCACGACCCATGGGTGGGATCCGGCCCCACGACTTCATTCCATACGATCTCCTGCTACGAAACGACCCGCAGCACAATATCGCTCTGCATGCCACTGGGCTCCACCAATCGGGTACTCGGGAAGGGGAATTTTCAAACCTGGCAAATATTGAGTTTATAATTTTAGCTCCTGTTACCGCAAGGGCCTCTTGCAGTGACGGGCGTGGCTGAAGTGTGTGTGTGATAATGCGCGATCACACGACCAAAGGTATAGGAAAGTCCTATTTGACCCCTTCACCCCATGACCCCCATGACCATCAGTGGATCGACCCCGAGTAAGGAAGAGGCTTCTCACCCCTGCGCCGCTCACGTAAAGGGGCTTTACACGTCGCTGTTCTCAGCACACACGGTGGGGGTCACGTCGGCTTAAGAGGTCACGGAAGGCTGGAGACCGCACGGGCCTCGGAACCATGCAGGCCTAGGAGCCGTCGAGCCGTCGGGGCCGGAGGCCGAGGGCACGGGGAACCCACCCTCCTTGTCGGGCCGCGCGCCGGCCGCCTGCAGGAACTTGGAGATGAGCGGCGTGCTGGAGAGCGAGAGGCACGCGGAGATGAAGAGGCTCTGGTTGGGTGGAATGTGTAGCACGTGGCCCCACAGCAGCCCCGTGCCCAGCATCAGCACCATCATGGCCAGCGGGGTCTGCAGAGCGACGCGCCACACCTGTACGCACGCACCACGCACGCATCACACACGCATCACGCTCGCACCACGCACACACCACGCACGCATCACACACGCATCACACACGCATCACACACGCATCACACACGCATCACACACGCATCACACACGCACCACGCACGCACCACGCTCGCACCACACACGCATCACGCACGCATCACACACACACCAAGCACACACCAAGCACGCATCACACACGCATCACACACGCACCAAGCACGCATCACGCACGCATCACACACGCATCATGAACACACGCAGTAGTGGGGAGCGGTAGTGCAAGGGTTAGTGCGTTGCACTGCAAACCCGGCAACCAAAGTTCAATTCCTGTTCAGTGCCAACACTGGTGATGATTATCTGAATCAGCCTCAAATGAGTGCCTGGTACAGCTACCCCCTCGTGTGCCATGCCGGCCTTCATAGGTGCTCGCAAATAGCACTTGTCCCAATAGTCTGTTAAAGGCTATACGGGGGATCTTTGTCTTTGTGTGTGTGTGGTTTGGTGCATGTGTGTATGTATGTGTGGTATGTATGTATGTGCGTGTGCGTGCGCGTGCGTGTGTGCGTGTGTGTGCGTGTGTGTGTGTGTGCGTGTGTGCGTGTGTGTGCGTGTGTGTGCGTGTGTGCGTGCGTGCGTGTGTGTGCGTGTGTGCGTGTGTGCGTGCGTGTGTGAGTGCCCGTGGCCTCCACCTTGCGCAGCCGATCCGGGTAAAACTCGAGCCCCACGAAGAAGAGCGTGAAGAAGACGCCAAACTCCCCCAGTGTCTCCACCTGCACGATGGCCTGCACACCGCGTCACACCGCGTCACACCGCGTCACACTGCGTCACACCGCGTCACACCGCGTCACACACGCGTCACACCGCGTCACACCGCGTCACGTGGCTCAGCGTGCCCGCACGGCCCGACTCGCCAACACGGCACGACCCCCTTCCCCTCGGTGTCGTCCATCGGGGTCGTTCGACCGTACTTCACCGTCCCTGTCAGTGCGGGTCGGTGCGGAGGCGGCACGTTTTGTGCCTGCTGATAGGCAGCCAACGGGGAGAACGCGTCCGGGAGGACGTCCCCCACGGAGATAGAGCAATGGGATAGGTTCGTTTGTAGGAGCGAGGTGGATTGTGGCAGAACTGGACCGTGAGAGATGGCGGTGGCATCGGGAGGTCTTCATCCAGCAGTGGACTGACAACGGCTGATCATGATGATGATGAAGAGTTGGCGGTCCAAAACAAGGCTGAGGTGTAGTACACACGCGGTGTGGCGATGTCACGTGACACGCAAGGCACGATGGGGAGGACCGATCGAGAACTGCGCGTGCGGCACAACGCCACGGGACTCGGGGAGCCGACGATCGGAGCGTTCCATTAGCATGTGGGGGGGGGGGGGGGGGGGGTGGCGGGAGGGGGCGGTAGGTGCACGGGCTCGGGGCGGTTACCTTGATGGCGTTGAGGCCGGAGGGGCCGAGCAGCACGCCGCACACCACGTAGCCGAACATTGAGGGCAGCCCCATGAGCATGCACAGCCACCCGCACGGCAGGGACAGCAGCACGATGGCAACGATGTCCTGGGACCAGACAGAGAGACGTGCTGAGGTGAGAGAGCCAGGAACAGAGGCATGCGAACACCAGCACAAAGACACCGCAGTGCCCTGGGGCCAGGCACACGAGGGAGTGGGTGGCCAGCACTATGCCCTGGCCGCCTTTGTCTCCCCAGTGGTGATGTTTACACATCGGACAAGATACTCATTTGAGGCCGAGTTGACCTAGGGAGAGGCCCAGGACCGATTCAGATCATCGTCATCGGCTTTCGCCGCGAGCGATTGTCCAAGTGCAGCACGCTAACCATTGCACTCTCTGCACCTCCGATAGGCATGGCTGGCTGCGTGCGGTGCGTGCGGTGCGTGCGGCGCGTGCGTCCATACGTACGTGCATACATCCACACAGAGGCAGCCAGAAAAATATCCCGAGATCGGGCTGCTGCACGACCGCGTCGTGTACCCATTCGTCGTTTTTTGCCCCGGCACGAGGGCCCCGCGTCTCACCGTGATGAGGTGGTGGTCGGAGCGCGGGATGGTGGAGTCGCGGGGCTTGGTGAGCACGTACTGGTTGTTGAGCGAGTCGATGAGCATGCTCAGGCCCAGGTCCTCCCCGCCGGCCTCGCGTCGCGACATGTTCCCCACGCTGTCCTCGTCCGGCTCCTCCAGCCGCCACACCGCCTCCACGTTGGCGCCTTTCCCCTGGCGCGGCGAGTGGGAGGTCAGCGACGTTGACCGCGCGGGCGTTTTGTTTCGTGGCCGCGCTCTCTGCGTCTCTCCCGACGCCGCGCGTTGTGTCCGGAACGACGTCCAACTTTAGCCGAGCGCGCGCGCCCGGAGCCTCCGGGAGGTTTGAGGCCGCGCGACCGCAGTCGCACCGCGGGCTACTCCTAACCCTTTCCCGTTGCGATGACGGACGTGTACGATGCTGGACGTGTACGTCATCGTTTTTTCTTCCAATTCGTTCCCATAACGTCATCGGAATGGAATCGATTATGGATGGAATCGAATCGAAGAAAAAGGCCACGCGGGAAGGCGTGTGGCATAGCTTGGCGCCAGCTATCATAGAGTGTCGCTGCAGCCGAATGTCTTAAAAATAAAATTAACGCTGAACCCCTTGTGCGTTCGAGATTCAGCGATGAGCGGGACACCACCCGCCCTGCAACTTGCGGACGTCGCCGGTAACGGGAAAGAGTTCCATGCGTCCGCAGGAGGAGACTGTCGTGGCTCGCGGGATAAATCTAAACGACCGAGCCCTGCGGGGAGAATGGCTCACCATCTCCTGGTTGTCGAAGACGTGCTCCTCGATGCGCTCCTCCAGGCGGTTGGCGGCACGCCGCACGTCCTCCAGCACGCCGTCCAGCATGGAGAGGCTGCGGTTGCGCAGCGCTCGCACTTTCAGGGCCTCCGCCTCGCGCCGCTCCGCCGCCACCAGCTCCACGTACTCCTGCTCCTCCTGGCGCGTGGGGGGGGGGGGGGACACGAGGCATTCTCATCGGCAACGTGCTGCCCGTCAGCAACACAACGTACAAGCTCTCGGCCTTGTCTAGACCACCAACAGAGCTGTACGTGGCTGCCGTATAAAACTCTCGACGCCACCGACACATCGTAATGGTTCTTTAACTCGCACCTTGAGCGTGCGATGAATACCAGAGCGTGCGAGCGGACCGTGAGAACATACGACCCGAGCGCCACTCGCGTCCCCCCTGCGGGCACCTTGATGGCCGCCTGCCGCAGGGCCTCCAACCGCTGGCGACTGCTCTCCTTCATGTTGAGGAGGTCCCGGAAGTCGCCCTGCAGTGCGCGCTGCAGGCCCACGATGGCCTGGAACACGGAACTCTCGCTGTCGTTGAGCTCCCTCTGGAAGATCTCCAGCGTGTGCACCTGGGGGCGAGAGGCGGGCAGCCGGGTCAGCTGACAACGCCACCACCGCGCCGCTACCTACTCCAGTTAGTAGTTGACTTTTGGTTTTGTCACGTTTGCGTTTTTCTTATTTGTTTTGTCCCGTTTGTTGGCTCGGCAGTACAGATGATAGGCGGAACATTTGCGATGCGACGGCAAACACCGCTCGCGCCCGGACTATTTTCCCGTTCACCAGATGTGCCGTCGTTCATCATATTCTGGGCGGAACCGGCGGTCAGCGTAAGAATGCATTTTCATTGATGACTCGATGCATTGTTCCGCACCTACTGCCACCAGAAGGTAACAGCAGCAACAGCAGCGACATATCCCCTCCGCACCGGCCGCCCCCTCTCCAGCTCCACGTACCTGAAAGAGCTTCTCCTCCGGCGAAATCTTGCCATCCTTCTCCACCACGCCGATCGCCGAGTTGAGCTTACGGATCACCTGGGCTTTGTGCTTGAGCAGAGTGGCCAGCCGGCCACACGCCCACTGTTTAATGCCGCCGTTGGCTCCGCCACCGCTCCTGACAGCTCGTGCGGCCGCCTCGCGCCCACGGTGCAGCTTGATGGCGTGCCGCGCCACGGAGCCGTGCTCCGCTCCGTGCGCCGGCAGCACGGCCAGCGCAAGCGCCACCAGCGCAAGTGCCGCCAGCAGCCGGGAGGGGCGGGGACCGTCACCGTCCATCACGGTAGAGCGTGGGAGCGCGGCTCCGCGCTCCTCATGACCGTCCGGCGAGGGCCGCCCAGGTTGTCCCGTGCCGTCCGATGCCGGAGGCGTCCCATGCGTCTCCGCAAGATGATGGCGGCACGGCCTGGGGAGGAGAGTCGGCCTGGACCCACGGTTCGGGCGGCACGGAGGGAAGGGGAGAAGCGGGCGGGACAGCTTTTACTGCGGGGGTTTCAGAGGGAGCATCGTCTGGAATTTTGCCCCAAGCCTCCAAAAATCTTCGGGCAGCCCCGGGCAGCACGAATGAACATGCACCAAACAGAAATAAACTCCTTTAAAAAAGTTTTAAAAAAACAACGGTTTTATTAACACCTTCGTTTAACTCACGGTAGAGAAGTACGTCAATGGCGCCTGAGACACGCGGCGCCTGATTTTTGGGTGAGCCGATTCCACAGTTTATGGACTGCGGTGTTTTTGACCTACACAAATATAAATATAAATAATAAGGCGTCCATACAGAATGTAAATTGCTTTAAAGTAGCGAATCAATTGATTAATTGATGCCGATTTTGATACAGGCATGCATTGTCACCGGATCTGAGTACGTGCGCAAAATGTAATGTGGAATTGATTGGACAACGGGAAGTGGACGAAATTTTGATTACAAGATTTGACCACGACAAACGGAGGAATCAGGTTAGGTAAAACCGTTGAAAAAAGCGGGTGAACGAGCGACACTCATGATAAAACCCTGCGACGCGTACACTCTGAAACTGGGTAGGCACGAGGCGGACCTGGCCGCAGAGGAGGCCAACGTTGTCTGCTGCCAGGGAGCAGCATCACCGGGCAGCAGAGGCGAGGATAATGTTCCTGAATGAGGGCCGAAGTGGACTTTCAAATACCTTTGACGGGGCACACCTTGACACACCCCTCGGTCACTCGCAGTGGCAGAAGTGACTGGGTGTGCCAAAACTATGAACACAGCGTTTTCCAGTCGTAAATATCCTTCTAGAGTACCCGATCAGTACGGTCAAGATGCTTGCCGTAACAGATCCTGTCATGTTTGCGAGCCATTCTCCACGTGCTAGGAGCGCGGCCGCGGGGCCATACGTTCATCACCCCTGCCCCGCAGGCTCCAAATCTGTCCGACAGAGATTCCGCAAGTGCGGTACGTCACGCTCAACCCTACTTGCAAAAGACACTTAACCTACGCGCCCTGACCGATGGAGAAACACAGCCAGTGGGTCAACACCACAGCACATCCCGGACGCGTGCGCGTCCCGTGCGTGCGCACGAACCCAACGCCAAGGGCGCCTGCGCCGCAAGGAGGGTGCTCGCTGCCTGCCACCAACTTCAGGCCTCTGCTTTGGAGCGATCGTTTCGTTTAAAGTGGGACGAAGACCCGGCGTGAAATGGCGCAGCTGGGCTTTGCACGGGCCCTGGCTCGTGGGGGTGGGGGGGCCCCCACTCGTCCACCGTCCCCTCCTCTCCGTGACCCGGCGCCTGGCCTCTTCCGCTCCGAGGGACTCCCCGGCACAAATTGCACCGCCCGGCAGCCGCCCCCGCTGCCGGCGAAGAACTCAACACCGCAAACCGCCTCCGCGACGCGGGGGCACCTCCGAGCGGAGGGGTCCTACTTCAGGCGAGAGCGTGGCACCGCTGTGCAAACACGCGCACGTCACTCGAGGAGACCGCGCGGACGTCACTCGCCGTGCCGAGCCTGCGCAGACTGTCACCTGTGTTTAGTTTCCTGGTGCCGTGGCCTGCCGCGGTGGAGCCTGAGGAGCCGTGACGCGGTGGATGGGGCGTGCTAAGATGACTGGCCAAGTCTCGTCCATCTAGTCTGTCCAGAAAAACAAGGAAAGAAACCGACCTTTGTTCAAGTTATGATAGCCGAAACCGAGAGCTCAAGAAACCAGGGCAGCCTTTGTTTGCACGAGTGACTCCGGGTCACCCAAAAATGAAAGCAGCAGCGGGCATGAAGAGACCCACAACGTGAACTAAATAGATCATAATTCAACCGCGTTACAGAATTAAGCGGTGAAAAAAAAAAACGTGAAGAAATAGCCAACTCAAATTAATTTCCTCTCACACAATTTTAAATGGGCGACCCCCCCCACTACCCCTGTCCATGTATAGCCACACGAGTGGCACCAACATCCGCTGTTAGGGACATCACAGCGCAACACAGGGGGGTGGGCGGGGGGTGGGTGGCCAGCACCGCACCCAGCTGCCTTTGTCTTCCTAGTTCTGATGTTTACACTCATCCAAGGTTCAGTTAACCTCGTGGAGGCACTCCAGAACAGGTTTGGCTGGGTATCAGGTGGACTCTATTATAATCTTCTCCGAGGCTGGGGATCGAATCCAGGCCGTCAGCTCTCGAGCGCGAGGTGGGACTCACTGGCTCAGCCAACTCAGATCTCTTACCTGGTGACACAAGCTCGCATCTCTTACCTGGCTAGCCAACTCGGATCTCTTACCTGGCTAGGCAAACTCGGATCCCTTACCTGGCTAAGCCAACTCGCCTCTCTTACCTGGTGACACAAGCTCGCCTCTCTTACCTGGTGACACAAGCTCGCCTCTCTTACCTGGTGACACAAGCTCGCATCTCTTACCTGGTGACACAAGCTCGCATCTCTTACCTGGTGACACAAGCTCGCATCTCTTACCTGGCTCAGCCAACTCGCATCTCTTACCTGGCTAAGCCAACTCGTCTCTCTTACCTGGTGACACAAGCTCGCATCTCTCACCTGGCTAGACAAGCTCGCCTCGGTCGGGCAATCGGCCCCCTCACCTTTGTCAACGGAATGAAGGCGACACGACGCATAGAGCCTGGGAACCAGGAGGATCAGGGGCAGTCCGATTGCAAAGCGAGTATTATGAGCACACAGATTAAAGTGTCGTATCGTTTGCTCAGTGAATTAAAAATAAGAATAGGGTTTACCCTTTCTGGCAGTGAAACAGGTGGCAAGAGGTCCCGACACCACAGAGACAGCTTTGTCAATGAATCAAGAAAGGTCCCATGGTAGATCTGTATCTGCACAGCGTAATGGAGTACGTGAGCATCCAGCCGTACGACAGCCACTGTCATCACGTGCAACGCAGCACACACGACGTGAAGAAGCCTCACGGCGCCAACACGAGAGCCACATCGTGAGCAACCCCGGGTTAATCCCACAGACATCACCACCACCATCGCCACATCAACACCACCACCATCGTCACATCAACACCACCACCATCGTCACATCAGCACCACTGTTACCAGCACTAACCACTATGATTATGAACACTGTCACCACAGCATAACAACCTCTACCATCGGCACCACCCTCACCAACAATCGCCACTGCCACCGTCACCATCGCCGGCACCACCCTCACCACCCTCGCCACCCACCGCCGTCGTCTCTGCCACCCTCTGGGCAGCAACCATCAACCATCACCAGCGTCACCTGAATTCCGCATTCGCTTCTCAGACGCCGCTCCGCCCCAGACTCCAAAACCACCGCCGCCTCCACCACCACCACCTCCTTCTTCACCACCACCACCACCAACAACGCCTCCTCCTCCTTCACCACCACCTTCACCTCCACCACCACCAACGAGGAGGAGGAGGAGGGCGCGATGAGAAGCCGTCTGGTAACAGCACCGCGCGACAGCTGAGCAGCCAGAGAAGAGACCCGAGGGTTGAGAGAGAGAGAGGCAGCAGCAGTAGGAGGAGGAGGAGGGTAGAGAGAGAGAGGGGGGCAGGAGGAGGAGCAGCAGGAGGAGGAGGAGGCGGGTGTTGGTGGTGGAGCAGGAGGAGGAGGAGGCGTGCCCGGGCTCTGCGCATGTGCGCCCGTGCGGGTTGGGGTGAGGGTGGTGGTGGTGGTGAGACACAGCCGCGTCCCGCCATGGTGAGTGAGCCGTCCTCGTCTCTCCCTCTCACCACCCTCTCTCACCAAACTCCCTCGCCCCCTCGCTCGCCCCACCACCTCCACCACCTCCTCCTCCACCACCTCCACCACGTCCCCGGCTCCTCCGCAGTCTCCCCCCTCTCCCCTCTCCCCCGGCTCGCGATCTTCACAGCCCGCGCCGGGGTCCGTCGGCCCGGGGGCCCTGGGGGCCCTGGCGGCCCTGGGGGCCCTGGGGGCCCCGGCTTCTCGGGCAGGGGGTCGTGGTGGTGGTGGTCCTGCTGTTGATGTGGGTGGATGTTGTCGATGGTGGAGGTTTGGTAGCGATGGGGGTCGCGGCAGCCGACGGCGCGGGGTGGGCGAGGGGCCCTCTCGTTGTGGCGAGCGCCGCGGCCTCTGGGGGGACGTGCAGGGCACAGGGGCTCGTGGTGGTGGTGGTGGACGTGGCGTTGATGTTGGGCGATGGTGACGTTGTTGTTGATGGTCGTGGTTGGTCAGGGTGATGGTGGTGTGTGTGTGTGTAGTCAGAGGCTGTCACTGTGACGCCGAGTGGGGAGGCTGGGCCACTTCGTTGGCAGGCCCGTGGAGACGGACTCGTGTTGTTGTTGATGTTGTTTGTGGTGATGTGGTGACGATGTTGGCGATGTTAGTTGTTGATGGCCATCAAGGTGTTGACGCGTAGCGACGGGCTGTCACTGCTGCCCGACTAGTGCGCCGTGCTAGGCCCCCATTGCTGTGTCTGGCCGCAGGGACACGGCAATCTTGGACGGCGGTGTTGGTGTTGTTGGTGTCATCAGCCATGGCCGTGTTGGGTGGTTGTTGTTGTTGATGTGCTGCCCCGACTGTCTTTGATGTGTGTCCGTGTCCATATGATGGTCGTCATCGCTCGTGTGTATAGCGTGGACTGTCAACACATTGACGAGTGTATGAGGCTGGCCGGAATATGGCAGGCCCAATGGTCGGGGTCACCGTGATTGTTAGTGATGTACATTTGTTGTTGTTGATGTTGGTGATTGTTGTTGTGGTAGTAGTTGACGGTGGATAGAGAGTCGAGGCTGGTCTTGCTGTGGCCTAGCTCAGTGTTTGTTATCGTGAGAGGCTGGGAGAGCGGAGTCAGGACCAGACCCCAAACACTTGGGTCAGGGGTCAAACGTTGGCTCCTTCACACTGCAGTCAGAGGTCAAGGATGTACCCTAATGGCTTGCTCAGATATGCTCCATAAACACTGGGTTCAGGGTTCAAAGGATATCCTAAACATTGGGGGTCAAACTGATTGCCTAAATAAAGGGGTCACAGGCAAACCATGAACACTGCGACCAGGGTTCAATTCTGACCCCAGACACTACCATCAGGGGTCAAGGGTGACTCAACACCAGGGTCAAGCATATCGACTGCACCCTGTATCAGGTCAGAGGTCACGCCTGGGCCCTGACCCTGTTCTTGGGCCACGGTTCAGATTCCGGACGTCCTCGTAGGTCAGCCCAGCAGTTGCGTGTTTGAGGGCTCCACGCTGGGCCTGCCACTTGAGTCTCTTACTAGCACTTGCAGATTAATTTCCCCGAACGCTTACATGAATTGTCATTTAAGTCATATAATCCAGTCTTTTTAAAACCTCCTTTGTAAAGTCTTGTTTATACTGTATCATTTGTACTGTCTCATTTGTACTGTAACTTGTGTTCTGTCTCCATTGTATCACCTACCTGGTATATTCTGTCACGTTTCGCCCTTCTATGCACAGCATTAACAGATAATTTGCATAAACAGTAAATCATTATTCTTACATACATAATTCTATGCGTGTATCACGAGTGTAAGAATACATTTCAGTGATATTACATGCCAACTTCATGTGTGTGTTTCACTCAGAATCTGCCCCTTCCGTTAAGTTAACTCGCAGTAAGATTAAGTTCCCTCCAGATTTCGAACCCCACTGAATGAGCCCAAATGCCCATCGATACTGCTCCCCTCCCCTGACGCCGGGTAGCTTGACTCAATCTCGGAGGATGCCCTTCATCTCCGCCGTCTAATTTCTGCTGGAAGTATCGAGGCCTCATCCACATCCAAACATATGTGCAGAGGAACTGAGCAGCGCTTTCAGCCTTCACTGTAGATGCCCCCAGAGGAGCCATCGGCCAAATAATCCACCTGTCCTGAACTTGTCATGGCATAGAGGGCCCTGTGAGTGTGTTTGGCTAGAGATGGAGTGATGTGGTACAAGAGGATGTGGAGCTGAGTGGACTTAACGATGACTGGGACCAGCAGTGTCAAAATTGGTCTCTGTAGAGGAGGCTGGTGAAGGACGCTACTAGGCAGCTGGAGGCAGTCGCCCTCCAGCAACATGGGAGGGCAGAGGAGCAACGCTCACAACAACGAGCGGAGCGTCGGGTGGATAAAACACAGCAAGTTGGCACAGTAGGGGGAACAGGTGGTGCATCGGTCACTCATCTCTCAGTCGACCCATGGCACCTGGGTCTGTCCAGTGACCTGCCAACGGGCGTATGACACTTAACGTGGCTTTAACGTGCACATAGCCTGGCACAAGCGCCGTGGTGACGTCACCGCCACTTAGTGACGAATGGCGGTTGTTGTCGGGAGTGGTAGGGTTAAAGGGTTAGCGCAGTGCGCTATGAACCCGGCAACCGGAGTTCAATTCCCGTTCACGACCAATAATGGTGGCGAATACCTTAACCAGTTCTGGACTTACACCTCGGTCGACTCGGCCTTAATTGAGTACCGAGTGCGGGATGTAAACATCGGCACCCGGGAAGACAAAGGCGGCAAGTGCGGGCCTTGATAGGTGCTCACTAACAACACTGAACCTAAGTCTTTTAAAGGCTTTACGGGGGATTTTTGTTTTTGTGATGTCCTGTGACTTGCTGGAAAGCCTTTGCCATCCCAGTTGGCATCAAAGGTCACCCAGCCTGGCTCAAGTGTCGTCGTGATATCGCTGCAAGTTGATAATGAACGGTGGTTTTTGTGCCGTGTGCACGCGGGAGGATACTGGCACGTTGGCCTTAGTTTTTTTTGTCTTCGTGCGCTTTCTTCCCCATCCTTCCAGAGATTCAAAAAATGATATTCTTCTGAACCTGTTTCTCCTACCATCCATTGCTAACCCCATCAGATATTGATGTTGTTACTGCCAGCAAATCGGGTATTTGCTCCTTAGAAAAGTGTATTCTCTGCATGCTTACACACTGACAACAGGTGCATATTTCCACGCGTACCTTGCTGCCCTTAAACGATAACCAGTCACTGCGGGGGTTAAACCGAAGGGTGCCATCAGCAGGGCTTTAATATTTCATTCTGCACGGCGCCTCTAAGTGGAGCTGGGAACGCTCAATGCTTTGATTCAGGTATTTTAATCAATAAAATTGTGCCTTATTTAGTAATAAACTTACAGGCCGTGAGCGACCCCCGCTTGAGCCCGCCCGTGTCGGCTGGCCGAGGGATTGAGCCGGTGTCATTGTACAGCTCGGCGAAGAGCACGGCCATATATATACACACTCGCCGAGTACAGTGCAAGGCAAGCATGTGAGGCATGCTTGCCAGACCCAGGCGGCATGGCACGGCACAGCACGGCGCTGCCACGGCGGGCACAGAGGACAACTCGGTGTGAGCGGCGGCGCCGAAATATCACGGCCGCTCTTCTCTATATCGCTTTACACCGATTGAGTGGGGGCGGCACAGGATTAACCAGATCTGAGAAGGGATGGGAAATTTTCTCGGAAAGCGCAGGAACTCCGCAAATGCGTGCAGCAAAGGCGGCTCGGCAAGCCGGCGCCGTGAGCGAGCGGCGTCTCCCGTGCTTGGCGAGCAACGGGCGCACGACTGGGTTCCGCCAGACGCGCGCGCCGGCTCTGTCCAGGCTTGCGCGCGGGGGGCTTGGTGTTGTGGCCTGCAGGGCAGTGCTGGCGGGCGCCTGGAGCGTTTGTGGACAATGAGGTTGAAGCGGCGCAGAATGGAGGGCGCGCGTGCCCGGCTCCGGTGAACACCCGCGACCATGCACGGCCACTTCAGCCGTAGAAACACACTCTAATTTTGGCTTCACCGTGTCCTTGATGTGCCCCGCACATTTTCAACTCCCAGGACTCGGCAATGAAAATCAAAGTTGAGTGTAAGGCAGTGTTTTACGACCGTGCATAGGTTTTGGCAGACGCGCTGCACGGCTCTCCGGTGCGTTGTCGTGCTGCGTCGTGAGCGGTTCGATGTCTGACTTCTCGCTGCACGTGCTGGGAGCTTCTCCAAGAAAAAGAGCGAAACGTCAGACATCATGCCGAACAACACGTGGTGCAACCTGGAAACACGTCGGAGAGAACGACATCATTATTATTATTCTTACGGGGCTGTCAGAGGTTTTCTTCCTCCTGCCTGACGGAGGCGTCACATTTTCCTACAAAACTGACACTCTAGACCTAATGTCGCCGGCAGCTGAATCGGCATCTAAGGCGCAAACCGAACACCGCCATGTAACGAGCAAGCGAAGAAGGAGCAGCTAGAGGTGCTCGTCGCTTTTGCAACGATCTCTCACAACCGCCGTGCGTGCCACTCTCTTAAGAGAGACCCCTCGCAGTGCTCTACTCTGAGCACGTGGCACGACGGCGCCACCGCTGCTACCCTTTCTCTGCTACGATACGCGCGGCACTCAACTTCAGCCGGAACAGCTGGAATGCTGTTCCGGGAATGATTTTGGCATGCCAGATACCCGTCTCTCCCTTATTTTGTCAAAAACCTGTTCATAGGATTCTCTAGGCACGATAGAGGAGTGCTCTGGATAGGGGGTGCGCCTTGCGCTCACGTGTTAGTTCTCGTGCCTTACGTCGGTAATCCCCACTCCGAAACCAGCCCAGCAGCTCTCAAGGAAAATGTCTTGTGATAAATTAAGCCGCATGAGTGTCCAGCAAAGAAAGGGCCATTCTAAAAATATTCCCAGGCTTCGAACAAATTCACCTGCTCCCTCACACCCTCCCTCCCCGCCTCCCTCCGTCATTTGATGAATTGTGACG